GTCGGTGTCTAGTGAAGCCATGAGTTGGGTGATTGCGCAGTGTTGATGCATGCAGTGACCAAAGAGAAGAAAAGGCAGGTGGAAAGAGCAATAGTTATGGACCGTCAACTACGGTAGTTTATGTGTTTTAATTTCTATCCACCTGTCTTGAGACTCGGTATCTTTAGGAGAGAAGATGACCAAAGGAGAGGCATTTACACTACCAAAACAGCAGCAGAGATTATTACTTTTTCATTTACCGATGAGCACTGTTTGATCGAGATGCACCGTTGAGGCACTATTTGGCCGAGGTGCACAACTCGGGCACTGTTTAGCCAAGGTGTATAACTCAGGCACTTTTTGACCGAGGTGCACCGTTGAGGCACTTTTTGGCTAAGGTGCACAACTCGGGCACTGTTTGACCAAGGTACACCATTGAGGCACTCTTTGGCTGAGGTGAATAACTCGGGCATTGTTTGGCCGAGGTGCACCATTGAGGCATTATTTGGTCAAGGTACATAATTCGGGCACTTTTTGATCGAGATATACCATTGAGGCACTATTTGGCTAATGTGCACATTGAGGCACTATATGGCCGAGGTGTACCATTGTGGCACTATTTGGCCAAGGTGCACAACTCGTGCTCTGTTTGACCGAGGTACACCATTGAGGCACTATTTGGTCGAGCTACACAACTTGGGCACTTCAGGGCATTCGAAGTGTCATATAGGGCCATCTGGGCCTGAAATGCGACGACTTGCTTTGTTGGGTCGAAGCTACCTTGGTAAGGCTTGAGCACAGGAAGGCAGAAGTTTTGCGAGGTCGACTTGTCTTGAGTCTCCTGCACAAATGGGGACCCTGTTGGGGGAGCCTCGCTGAGCTCTTCCTTGGATTTGTGAAACTTCTTTTGGACCTTATCAAGACGTAAATTGACCGAGTGTAGCTGAGCCCGGAAAGAGTTCGTCGAATTAGATGACAGTGTGTTAGGCTCGAGGGTGCTCGGGTAGGATCATCGAGGGTCTGGAGTGTTGTGCTCGGTTTGCTCAGTTGGGGGCATCCTTACAATATCAGGCCCTCCTTCTAGCTCCAAAATGATGGTGAACCTTTATGTCGTAGCTTAGGTGTCAGCATAGCTTGGTTTGGTCCCGGATGCACAAGGTTGGCCACACTGATGCTCGGGTGGTGAGGGTGAGCATCGGGTTGGGTCGGGTTCGAGCCTCGTCCCCCGAGCGTAGTCTTCTCTCTTGACGAGTGGCCTGCTTCTTCGTCGTTGAGCTCTTGCACATAGGTCAGGGTCGGGAGGGGGATTTCTTGACTCGACCCCTCTGAAGCTTAAGTTAGCTTTTGATGGAATGAGAGAGAGTTGAGTGTTCGAAGCGCCTCCCCTTCCTGATTAGGAAGGATTAGCTTTTATACCTACGAGGATGAGTTGGTGGTACGGGGTCAATTTATTGTGGCTGGCTCCTCAGGCAACCGAATGTACGAGCGCCGACCGACCTGCACGGATCGACACTGTGCGACGCCATCTCGAACTTTTCGGGGTGGCTGTATTATGATGATATCGTCGTTCGTATGGAGGGGGTGCTAAATGACTGTCCACCACGTGTGTGTTGTGCACCACATCGTACTTGAGGTACCACGTCTGCATTATCGTGTCTGCTTGCCTAGGTCCACATGGGCGATGTCAAAATATGCCCTATCAAACTTCTTCCTGCTTATTATTAGTATTATTATTATTATTATATATCTATATGCGGGTTTTTATTCCTTTTCTTAATTCCAACTCTATGGCTTTTGGCAAAATAAATGCAAAAAAACCATTAAGAATAATCAAAGTAGCTATCAAGAAAATGATAAAAATAAAAAAAATTGATCGAATATCTTAATGGCAACTAAAATTTCATTGATAGATCTAATCAGGTTTTGATATGAATACGAGTAGCTTAATTATTATCCGAGTAAAGTTTTATATAATTTATTTAAGTAACTATAATTCCTGTAATCAACGAGCTCCGTCCACCTGTCGCAGCATGACTTGTATTCGTTCGACGACTAAGATTTAACGATGCGAAGAACGGACGGTGATCCGAGATCCCTGAAACAGGCGGCTGGAAAACGAAAGCGGTAGATTCGCATGCATCAGAGCTGACGCATTCACTCCCAAGTCTTTACGCTCCTTAGTGGGCAAAACAATTCCACGCGATGGCTACGGCAGGCTAAGAGTTGTCTCTGACGACAACTCTTGTTGGCTTATGCTGCGGTCTTCATCTTTGTTGTCGGTATCAGCTCTTAAAGCTCGGGGGTTGGTGGCTGCAGGTTTGGGTTGGTGGCTGCAGGTTTTCCGCTGGATGAGACTTTTAGTTTGCTGTTTGTACTTTACATGACGATTGAAACCTGTGGAAAGAGTTCTGATGGCCTCTGAACAACTCAGGAGCCAATTCACTGCAGACACACCAATCTCATTCTTATTCTTCTACAATAATAATAAAAATAATCAAATCATATATTCTAAATATTTAGAATCGATTATGTATGAATCTTTTAAAATATTAATATTAATTATTTCATATATTCTAAAATACTTTTAGGTATATATTCATATCATCTTAAATGATTTATCAAAGCTATATTTGATTATTCATAAATAAAAATATTTTTTTCCTATCTTTTGTGATAATTCCATATATCCATCTTAGTATTTTTATCTCACCAACACAATCTTTTTGTATATTATTTCTTAATTATTTAATACTTAATTAAAAAATAAAATGTATAAAAAACTTATGTTGTTAAGATGAAAATATTAAGATAAATACAGAAAGTTATTAGAAAAAATTAAAAAATATGTTTATTCGTAAATAATTAAGTATAACTTGTATGCTGAATGATAGTTGGATTGTATTAATTTGTGGATGCTGCCTAGTGACATGAACATCTTAGCTAAAATATGTGTCGTTGAATAATGATTCAGTCTGGGTTTTTCAATGTAGTCTTCACTCGCAGCCATTTGGTGAAGTCAACTAAGTTGATGTGCGCTGAAAGAAAGTCAAAGTTCAAGTGGAGAAGTCAATGCCTAATGCCTGCAACTGGTTTCATTTAATGTATGTGAAATTTTGGTGTGCATGTTAACTTAAAAGACTGTTATGCACAAAAGAAAGAAGACATTTAATTCTGGGAAGAACATTGAAACCGGCATCAACAAGTCGGATTCCAAAAGTTCAATGAGATGATAGCACACAGTTGGCAATAGGGATAACAATTTGGAATACGATCAGCCCCATTTCTAGCTTTCAATATCATACATAGAACATTGGTGATAAAAGCACATAAAGGAAGCTAAAAATTACAAGGAGGCATCATTTCCCTTATTAAACCACATGCCATCCCATCCACCCATTGATCAAAAAATCTAAACTTGTTTTACAAGGAGGCCTCACATAATAACTAGGAAAAGGGATATTTAAAGAAAATATATTGTGCATGGCCACAAAATAAGGTAATTGGAAGCAGCCATAATCCAAAATCAACAAGTCTATTGAGGTTGGGAGAGAGGGCACTGTTTAAGCATCTAACACAATAGTGTAAGTAGCAAAGCACTTGCCTGCCATCCATCCCCAAGCTCAAGAGTCTGCATAGTTGGATCAGCCATGAATGTCCCTCTTATCAAACTTCCAAATCCATGCATCATTATTGGGACCACCGGATTCATATTCCAAGATCTATTCACAAGTAAATATCCCAACCAATTTGATAAAAATCAGATCTAAGTTGTTCAAAAGAGATATAGGTATAGGCCTTTGATTTGAGAGGACAAATGACATTTCAAGATAAAAGTCAAAAGGGTTTGGATCCAAACCCCAACATTGAGACCCATCTCTGACCACATCTTTTGGATCCAAAAAAAGATAGGTAAACAAACATCCACAAAAGCCTTGACAATATAATCATGATCATAAAGGAAGTTAATATTGGCTTTGATGTGGTTAATCAAGTTTTTTAGATGGCATGGCTATTAAAAATACAATATTTCCATCATCTTTACTTATCTACCTAATTTTTTTATTATTATTATTTGGTATTAATATACTGAAGGAGAGCATTAGCATTATGGTAAAGACAAAAGAAGGCTCAAAATCTTCGATTGAATATTAGAGAGAGAAGTATCTGTTAAAATTGGCAAATTGGCTAAGAGTTGTTTCAGAAAGCATGCGAGCTCATTAAATTTTTTAATCAATCCTTCTCCTATGGATCGAATCAATGGAATAGTCTGCACATGTTTGTGAAATCACACTGATTTTGGTTGATTGACCTGTGATGAAGCACAGAGCTAGAAAATATCATTAAGAGCTCAGCTCCCAAATGGACATAATAACTACAAGAATGACAACACAACAAAAACTGGCTAATAGAAGAGATGAGCATCCGAATTCAATGTCTACTGATGGCACAAAACAAATGACAACCAACAAGAAGATATCAGCTTCTGGATTCAGTGTCTCCATGATGGATGTTTCTATCTCACAATTGAATAACTTATTACTCCAAGCACCACTATATTCAGACAGGTTTCTGAAGTATGCCAAGTGCTCTACAAGAGTCATCAAAACCATCGTCTCTTGTTCACATCATCCGGAAGCAATTTCAGATTCCAAGAAAAAACAAAAAAACAGGGAAAAAGTGCATGGCCGATCCCAGAGATGAGACCGACCTGAAATTATTGGGATGGCATAAACCACCAAACTCATCATCCCTTTACAACAAGCTCACAACACCAATTTGGTGAGGTGGGCTGGCAATCTCAGCCTATCTGAGAAGGCTTGGGAGATTTGTTCGGTAAGATGTTGTCGGGAAGAATTAGTTCTTGAGGGACTTCACGAACCACTCCAAGCATCGAATCGTACTCCTCATCCCTGCGTGCAAACTTCTTGCGCAATACTTTCTCAAACTCTATCTCGTCAAATGATTTAGCATTCTCAGCAGCATGCACCTGGGCCAAATTGGCATAGTTCGTAGCAGACTGAGATATAAAAGCAATCTCTTCATCGGTCAGCTTTCTCAAAAACTTCGCAGGATTACCTCCCCACACCTGTCAATAACAGAAGTTCACAAATGAGTGCAAGACAAACTGTTAAAGCAAAGGCAGTTTATCAATAAACAGTAATTGATCACAAATTATGCTATATTGTCCAGTCCAATCTACGGAGTTCACAATCCAATGACCCAGATACTGAAAACCCCAATCTGATCCAACAATTTCAATTCTTTTTCAACCAAAAATGAATTGGGATTAATCTGATCAGGCCTCGATCCAATGTGGTTCCAATATAGTAAACCAATCTCCTTCCTTTTCCAATCTACCTGTTCATCAAATTGTATAGCCTTTTGCAGGAACGGATCAGATACACAGTTACCCCCTAGATCAAACCTGGTTAAAATGACCATACCAAAACCAATGGCAGTTAAAAAAGGTCAAGGGGTACCAGCGATCATACCATATACTTCTGACGATAAAAGTGACACATTATGGAAAAGGTATACTCTTCTGAACAGAGTCAACCAATGGTAATAATCTTAAGAGACTAATATGAGCACAAATTCATATAAATAAAAATGAAAAAAAATAAATAATGGGTTAAACAGTTGATAACCTCTCCACATGGAATCCTAGTGTTCTGCCTTACAAGGGCTCCAGCAGCAACCATTCCATGCTTCTCCACGACAACCCCATCAAGAAGGACAGAACCCATTCCAACAAATGTTTCATCCTCAACAGTGCATCCATGCAAGACAGCATTATGACCTATGAAGTTCACGATTTGAATAAAATGATGAGATTTACAAGAAGTTTATAAAATTATCTTGCAGCTTGCGTACAAACTCTAACACTTAACAAAAGGATTATGCAGCTAGTAAAAATTTTAAATTCAACAATTATATCTATGAGAAATCATGCAGGTTCCAATGTTAAATTATAGCTACTAAGGTAAAAAAGAAAGTGTTTTTCTAGAAATATCCACTAGTACCTGCTGAACAAGAAGTCAAGCACCATGACACTAATCATTTAACCTATGACCAAATTGAATGTTCAAAAGCATGGTTGACACTTATTGTAAAACTGACACTGAATGATTATATCACTTGCCTACTGTGACGTTATCTCCAATAATAGTTGGTAGAACCTTTCCAGTCAGATTAGATTTTGCCACATGCACCAGGGAATTATCTTGAATGTTAGTGCCAGAGCCAACATGTATGCTGTTTACATCACCTGCAAACGATCAGAGAAAAGGAGTTTATTACTCAATATTCAACCAAACTGAACATGAGAACACTGAGTTACAAGTAATGTCTATACTGAAACTAATGTCCACTATTACTGTCATAAGGGATGATGTCCAGGCACCAAATTTATATTAAAGAACAATGTATCTCGTCTTCATTGCCATTCAGCAGTAATGAAGACAGTAACAACCAATATACATTGGTCAATGCAAGTGTTATCTAAGGAATGGAAAATTTTCCATGTCTCTTTACAAGAAGAAAGTGGGAAAGAAAAAAAGAAAGTTTTTGGCTTACAAATACAGGAGGGCGTCATAAATTCTTGGAAAGACGTATGTCCACTATTGCTACAACAAGTAGACTGGGAAAGAGAATATACCACAAAAAAGGTAGGGAGAAAAAAAATTCTTTAAACAAAGAAATACTACTGTAGAACATTGAGTTTGTCATGCTTTTGGATCTGGCACTAGACTAAAAGGCAAATCTCATAAATCTGAAACTGAATTTACAAATCAAAATATAACAAGTCCATGATTCAACACATGATAGAGCTACCTTTTATATGTGCTATCTACTTGCAATGTACAGATACCAAATTCATGAGAACAATGGCAATCAAGGACCTTCAATAGAGGCAAGAAGTAATGCAAGACAGACAGAATCTACATGATCAGTTCTGCATTTCAACCCCTAGAAAAGATTGAGTCTACTAGATTGCTCCAGGTTAAAAGGACTAAATACATAATAAAATGAGACATGAGTTGCTAGAAGAAAGGAGTATTTATTTATTGTGAGGAAATGACAGCTTAAGAAGATGAAGCAATATAAAGAACAACCATATAGAAAGAACAAATGCAGGGGAAATATCACTTAATATAGCTGCTATGAACCACCAAATAGAAACAATCATTTACTCATTTGAATAGACAAATTTCAAGCTCAGCCAATCCTTCCTTTTTCAAAATAATTATCGAGTATATGGACTTAAAAGAGTGTCTTTATCATTTCTACATCATTATAGACAAGATCAACCATATTAGATTGTATTACCAAGAGAACTTGAATCTTATCCTATTTGTTTTCTATTTCATTTGGGACTACTTATTTACTGCATGATCAATGTAAAGTTTTAGTATTTCCTGGTGGAAAGGAGAGTAAGCATTCAGACATCTAACTGAAAAAGATAATGTAGAACACATACAGTCAATTATACACGAGGTTCTAATAGGGAAAAGAAAACGATCGAATGATAATGGTAGAAGACGAATCAAACGCAGATAAATTGGGTCCATCTCATAATACAAGGACCATGTGACCATAATTCTCAAAAGAAAAATCTATCATCTCGGCTCTTTACAGCCATATAGTGATTGACAATGATTTTCGCAAAGTATTGACATAGAAGAAATTACTGGAAATGTATATGGTTCCTATCTCTCATGCAAAATAATCCGTCCTCCAAAAATCTAGTTTTGTCAAGCATTACATAAGGAGTGCAATATTATCCATTGTACATCAGTACCAATTCATCTTTCTCAGTTGGAAAATAATGCATTAAGCCAGTGAATTTTGTATGGAGAAGAACAAGGCCTTTAGGATGATCAATACTCTACTAGCTTATATACATAGTATCAAACTAACTTGGACAACAGAAACATACCTCGCAGAACACATCCGTACCAAATTGATGATCCTTGGCCCACTTGGACATCACCAATAACAGATGCACTTGGAGCCACAAAAGCATCCTTATGAACATTAGGCACCTTGTCAAATACGTTCATGAGCGTACGATGCCTCGACACTATCATGATATGAAGAAAGCAGCAAATACAAATTAGAAAGCCTATAACTTAAACATTGAATTTATTTCTCACACTCAGTGCAATTAACATTAGAATGATATGTATCAAATCCAAGAAAACTACAAAATTATACTCAGTGATAGTGGCATAAAAATTAAAGAAAGCTGAATTATTGTGACAGAAATGGCAGTCTAATTTGAACTATTATGTCAGTAGTAGAAGCTGATATGACTAGATGTAAAGTGTAAACAAAGTAAAAAAGTTATATTTAGCATAAAATTGAAGAATTCATCAAGAATACAATTACTTTCTCATGGAAAGATACTACTTGAAATCTAATTTCTAATGGATTTCTTGCTTTATAGATTTCATGATTGCAAGTGGGTGGCATAATTTCATAAATCCATGCTGCCACACAAAATGATAGCTGCTTATTTGCACTAATTGCTGTCTTAGTCACCCAACTCCACAGGCTAGATCAGTTACTCAGTCTAGACATAACAACTAAGAACGGAAAAAACTAAATTCTTTTGGCTTTGAAAAGTGTTCCATTTATTTCTTTTTTTTTTTTTGCTCTGCAATTTAAACCCAAACTTAGAGGATCAAACATCTCGGTTAACCCTAACACAAACAAGATCAAAGACAAAATAGAGCTAAAGCATCTAGGTTAACCCTAGAACATGGTACAACTGCAAAATGAGGTTGTCATTGGGATAATTCACAAATAGCTAGATCATGTGCTAAATCGACAATCTGTAGCATATAGTTTGATACATAATAACTGTGATGGGAATGTAATAACATTCAATCACTCCAAACCTTATCAGTATAAGTACCATGTGCACCTGTGAATCAAAGTTTAATCACAAATAATATGCACCAAGATTGCTATTTAAGTAAAATGACATGAGTTGGCACGTGTCTCATGGTATGCCATTGCATGGAATAATACTACACCTGTGGTTGTCTAACACAGGAATGATACTGGACCTTCATAATTTGAGCTAGAATATCGGACGTTTGATGCTGTAGAGGAGTATGCTACCACTGCAATTATATTTGGATGGGATTCCTTTCTTTTGTTTCAATAATCACAATTCTTAGATAAAAGCAGAAGTTGGTATCATGGTGCAACAAATATGAATAAGACTTATAGAAGAACTTTCTGGGTAGATTTTTCTCTGAAGTCGTGCATTACATTTATGCTGTTCCATAGGCATGTACAAATGCAGATAGGAAAAGGACAAGCTTATCCAATATAATAACAAAAGTAAACTATGCAGCTTGATCGGCATTCTAGACTAAGGGGCATAGTCATAAGTCTAGATGAAGTTATCACTGAGGTTAACCTTTTCTAGTTTATGGCAACTATCAACTATCTACCAGTTCTTTTAGGAACCATCGTCAAATCTCATTATGTTTTATGTTCCTAAGGCCCAATTAGAAAGTTAATTAATTATATGGAAATTTATTTCTTGTTTACAATCAAAATGACTTTAAGTAGACTAACGGCTTTGGAAATCATTTCAGATTTTGCGATCTTGATTATTTCTTCCAACTAGGCTTCACTCTAGATCTTGCACATACTTTAACCTATGCTCTCTTCTTATTCTTCTATTCTGAAATATTGTCATTTTTATTCTTAAAGATCAAATGTGATGAGGTGAGTTGATGGGCAACCAACAAAATTCAAGCTCGTTGTGATATAATAGTAGTAAAATAATTGCATGAGACTCTGGTCACGGCATTCATAATTGTGCTATGGTAGCTATGCAACGATATATTAATTTGATACAATTTAGCAACTCTTTCTGAGAGTAGGACCGACCACAGAATCTATAAATCGGTACATTCTAATCCAAATATAGTGTTTTTCCTCAAGTCTAGTGAAGGTTAGGACCAAATACAACATTGTCCAATTTGATTAATTTCCACTTAACCTATCTCTTAAGGTACTTTGTATAATATTCATCCTAGATAGATGTATTGCAAACATTCTCAATTTCATGCGACACATCCTACCAAAGGATGAAGACATGATACCAAAAGTTTTGAGAGTTAAGCAACATCCGATCAGTTGCGGCCTTCCCCCATATAATAAAAACTGAAAAATACATAATTTACCCAGGCAACACAACGAATTTGATTTGATGACATAAAGAGTACTATTACCTATCTCAGGTACTTAAAGGTAAATCCCCGCTGTTCATACATAAAAAATCTTTCAATCTAAATATTCAAAGCTCATTACAAGTTCTCTAATACAAGACTTGGTAAGATTCCCATAACACTACTAAATGACTCTCCGCAAAGACCCACAATTTTGCATATAGAATCCAATAGAGCATTCCAGTTGATGAAGGGGCAAACATTGTCTTTGTCACTGAAAATGTTACATCAACATCCTAGATAAGCATCAGTGAAAGATATCCAAGGTCAACCAAGCTTCGTATTGAAGGTTCAGAAAAAAATACACGAATCTACAATTTGCAGACACCCAATGCTTTGGTTTGTTTGCGATATGAAACAAACGAATCTAAGTATAACCTTGGGAAACATGTTCTAATAACGCACGATGACATCTGAACTTGGTTTAATTTGTTTTCCTTAAGATTGAGAAACATCACCCACACAGAAATATTTTACCAAAAGAGGTTCAAATACTAATCGTGATATATTGCTTCATGCTAATAGGGCACGTAAAAAGGACAACTTGACGATAAGTCAAAACAAGAAATCACCAAGAAGTCATCCTAGAGAAGCTAAGAAACCCTCTATCACCCATTCCGATTACAATCCTAAACCATACACGAGGCAATGATTCCTCAAAGGAAAACCGCAGTGATCCAACCAATCGATTTCAGACTCATAAACAGATCGGTACACGCGCAAGAAGCGCTCGCATGATCAAAATGGAAAGGGATCAGGGGGAAGGAGGTCGTCTTACACTGCTCTTGGAAGTAGTAGTTGCCCTGGAGGCGGCAGCCGAGGCGGTCGAGGGCCTGGCCGGTCTCCCGGATCCAGAATCCGACGGAGTAGATCGCCCTTCCCAGCGTCCCCATGGATCGCACGCCGTTCGTAGGGCAGGGAAAAGAGAGGGCAGAGGGGCGAAAAAGAGAAGCGGCGGCAGCGACTACAGCAAGGGGTTAAATGGAAAGTAACGTGCTCGAAGTTAAACTACTATTTTACCCTCAATAGTTTCGCTATGAGACTCTCGACTAGGGGTAGAAATAGTATTTTACTTCGTTCTCCCTGGGCCGCTTGGGCTGACCTCAACTTCAGGTGCTAATTTATTACTGGATCCTATTAGTACTATAATTAAAAATTTTATATTAAAATCTTTTTAATTATAAAACTAAAATAAATATTTATTTATCTTACGATATAAATTACATTGATAAAAAAATACGATATCATGTAATAAATTGATATAAAAGTGATGGACAGAAAGATAATTTTAATGTCTTTTCTGTTTTTGATGTTAAAATTATTTTTTTATCGATAAAATCATTAGAAACGAAAAAAATATTAAACTTACCTTTTTGTTTATCATTTTCATATCGATCCTATCTCATGTGTTAGTATTTTCGATTAATGCAACCAGTAACATCAAAACAAATAAGATTATTTATTTTATTTTCAGAAATATAAAGATCCTAATATAAATTTTATAAGTATAAAGATCATAATACTAATAGGATAATTTGTAACTTGCGTTATCATTTGCAAATGTCTAACTGTGACTTATTTTTACCTTCTTTTTTTTTTTTAATATTTTCTTGTTATTTTGTGTGGGTTTTTAAATGACTAATTGCTCATAGTTTCTTACATTCGATTCTAATACTAATTAGTGTTAATTTTATTATTATTTGTAATATTTTACATCACTGTTATCGATTACATTATAAATAGATCGCTATAGTAATGAAACTATTATATTAAAATTCAAATACATATATATTATGTTAGGATATTTTATAACAATTGAATGAGCTTATATAC